TCAACTGTGTGTCACTCTTCAGTTGCACGGTATTTATAAACAGGACGTAACGTGATTTCTGTACGTTTACATAAATTGCAGCACAGGCTTCTTGCCAAAACAAAGTGCAGCTCTCGTTACGGATTCAGTACGCAACTGCACGCAAGAAATTCATTGAAACATGATTGGAAAAAATAGGCTTGTAGAAGGGAGCTGGTGTGATTTTTTAAGCTAAAACAGGGGCACAGTCTGTAATTAGCAGAATCTGCCAGAGATTCCCTGCCATTCGATTACAGACATCTGAACATGTCTATTTGACAGGGATTGTGTTTTACTATTAAAATTCTGTCATAGAACTGTTTCAGTAGTTCAGGGAAGTTATTGTATGATGACTAATGTAATACCTTAAGCTGAGCATATGGGAATTTAGATATTTGTGATATCTGAAACATAAATGAATGATAAAATATCTCAAGCGGTATACTTTAATAAAAACTTACAGTACATATTCAGGTAAATAACTGCCAGTGGTACCTCATAAAACCTACGCCATACTTATTAAAACAGAACATTGTTCATTCTCATCCTTGAGCAATTTCAGTAAGATCTTGCCAATCTGAATGCTTTCCAGAGGCCTTTGGGATCTACACTTGCATTGACCAGCAGGTACAATGGCACAGCAATCAGCTCTTTCATTAATGCTGCTAATGAGCGGATCAATTGAATTCTGAAAGCCTTTGGCAGAGGGAGGGGTAGGCTTAGGTTATAGCATCTTTCTTCACATTGCCAAGTACCAGAAGACCTCACACCTGTCATCCATTCACTGGGAGATCTTTTGTGGTTGCACACAAGTAAGATTATGTTTCTGAAGAACCATGCCAAAAGCCATCTGTTAATTTTTTACTGTCTTTCATTCTTCTGAATATCTCAGGCACATGCTCTGATTCTTTATCACTCCCCTACTGCCCTGTTTCTCATTCTCTCAAGATAGCAGGCTTGCATCATACAGTTAGATCTCTCTTTCTGCCCATTTTCCAGAATGAAATTGCACAGAATGCAGTATGCATTGTGATGCTGCTTTGTTTAGCAATATGCAATCTGCTCTCATAAATATGAGCAATGCTGGTATTGTATAACCCAATTTTTCCATCTTCTGGACTAGGTTTTCAGGAAATCGAATGTCGAAGTGGGCAACAGTTCTCTCAATTCAGTTAAATTATGGTTGATGTCACCGTGTCTGTATTTGCATTACGTAAGAGTCCACATGTTATTGTTGTGTCTTGATCAAGTTTTAAAAAAAAAAAACTTTGCACTCGATTAAATCAGAAACCTCCATTCTATGAGTCTGAAGAATTCCTGTCCGTAATGGAGAGGCACATCTACGGATCTCAATCCTCACAGATCTTTTTTTCAGTTTTTCCTAGCTCACGCTGGCCTAATTGGCACCATCCCCACCTCCCAGAAGCCTAGATTTGACTCATCAGATTCATTCATCCTTCAGAGGGCAGCTATTCTCTTGAGCGGACAAAAACAGACATGTTGGCAGATGTATTTCTATCACCGACTGATTCTGAAATTGAAAGCATTCACACTTTTTTAATTGCACACATTTGATGTTGGATTCCAAAAACAGAACCAGTTTACAAACCAAGAAACTAGTAACTTAACAGATCTTACTGGTGGAAACAGCACCCTCATCATGCTCTGAGCTCTGGTCTGAAGATCACATGGGGCCATGTTAGGTCACTTTTTTATCTGCTTGGTGAATGGCCTATTAATCCCTCCATCTCCTGTAAGCATTACTTCAGGGAAGCTCCTACTCTCATTGCTACAGTAAATGCACTGTCAAAAGAGAAGGCTAATGATTTTGAGCAAGTTGATCCGCTGAGCCTCTACTTTGTTTTTCTTCTAGTATTAGAAGATAAAGCGGTCAGCCATTAACAGGAGCAAGTTTTGACTTGCAAAGCTATTTGCAGGAGTTGGAAAAAATAACAGGCAGGTGATAATTACCAGTTAAGTGTCAGCCCCAGCAGGAATGCAAAATGTGCTAATCTGAACCTCCGCTCCTCATGTCTTAATTCGACTTCTTTTCCCTCACGGGTGCCCCTGAGAAGAAAACAACCCCCCCCCCCCAATGCCCACCTCAAAAGCCTGCTACTTTACTGTACACCTGTAATTTTAATTAGAGGAGAGAATGAGATCATGTGCTTTCTGCCAGATTACTGTAACTCCTCCAACTCAAAGACCCTGGTGTTTTGATGAGCCACATGGCACCAATCAGTTCCCATGATGCAACAGTACAAATATGGACATACTGCTGCTTAAACAGGCCGTTTTTCAAGTGAAATTTCAAATGCTGCCCACAATCAGTTAGAACCAGACTGACTACATATCCTGACTTCATAGTAATCATAACTAGCTGTCTGTCTAGCTGTCTGCAGATACATTTGCTTCCATATTTAGGCAGGAATTCAAGACTTTTGAATTCCTGCCTAAATACAGAAATAAACAGAGTGGTTTATTTATGTATGCTTTACAGACAGCAGGCTGTTAAATGTATAAGGAATCAGGTGCTGATTTTTTACAGCTTGGGGTGCTGTGTAAATTAAAAAAATATATTAGTGTGCACAGATAATGGGTGGTATAGCTTGGGTTCAAACCTGCAACTCCTAGTCACATACAGTAGCACTTAACCTTTAACTAACAACTCAGGCTTTCACTGGAAGAGTCAATTCCAGAGGCCCCTGTAGTTGTTTCCCTGGAGGAGTTTCAGATCTGTTTTGCTTTGGAAAGATCACCACGACACCAAAGAATAAGAGCCAGAGGGAGTCTCAGGGAAGCTGTCGGATTTAGAAGATTAGAAATCATATTAGGCTTTATCTGCATGCAAGGGTGAGAAAAAGTTTATTGGGGAAATTAAAAAAATGATATTCCTCAGTGAAGCCAGTGAATACAAAGACTGCAGTAGAATTTTTGTAAATTGTATGTAAGCAATTCTGCAATGAAAGCGATCCTTTTCCTTTCATGAGAGCAACAGCACAAACACCATCAAAGTGATGCGTTTGAGTTGTGCAAACACAACCTTTCCTTTGTCTGCCTAATGAGTGAGTAGAATTCAATGCATTTTGGAGAATTTAGCTCAGAATCTGTCATCAAATTGCACTTGTAAGCATGCAGTGTGACATGTAAGCATTTGTGGTATTCTGGAAAAAAATATTGGGCAGAATGATTTTTTTAAGTACTTTTTGAAATACATGTTCTAACTATACCTCATATAGAGGAATCAGCAGCTGTGCATCCCAGGTGTATCTAACCCTAGAGATACATGATAAACTATATTTTCTGTAGTGCCTTTAAAGGTGGCATGTCAAAGTGCTTTACAGAATGACAACAACAATAACAAAATACACAAGATATGCACAATGAGAATACACAATGAGAGGAGACAGTAGATGGGGGTACTGAATACAGTAGGAGCAGAGGAGTAAAGAACAGAACAGTTAAGTAAAGGCTCTTCTAAAGAAGGTTTTGAGTCTAGATTTGAAGGAGTTTAGAGAAGGTGACTCTCTGATATCCGTGGGGATAGAGTTCCAGAGCTTTGGGGCATCATAGGTGAAGGCCCTGTCACCCATAGAGTGTAGATGGGCTTGAGGGACAGATAGGAGATGGCCTTCAAACAATGTTTTTGAGTTTCAATCAGTGGATTAATCCATCAGAACATCCGTTTTTTTAACCACTTCAGTTCAAGGTGGCAGGGAAGCTAGAGCCTATTCTGGCAAGAATGGACACAAGGCAGGGTATACCCTGGATGGGACGCCAGTCCATCCACAGACAAATACAGACAAGCACACACTCACACCAGGGCCAATTTTCGCAGGTGCCAATTGACATACCAGTATGTCTTTGGACTGAGGGAGGTGAACATGGGGAGAACATGCATACAGTTCTCCACACAGATAGCACCCCTGGTTCCGAATTTATTCCAGGGCCCCAGTGCTACAAGGCAGCAATGCTAAATGCTGCACCTCTGTGCAAACCAAATCCATCAGTTACACTTTTTATTTACAAAATTATTCACGGTCCAAAGCAACAACAACTCCCAAAACTATAATTCAGTGAATACCATAGCCATCCCAATGACCTGTTCTGAAAAGAAACACTACACAAGGAGAATTAATCTTAAATTAAAACAGCCTTTACCTCTGGAAATTAGAGCACAGCTATAAGTGCATGGGTGCTTGCATTAAATGTATTAAAAATGTGATTGGCTTACTGGAGTTAAGGCAATGAGTTCTGCGCGTATTTTTTGTAACAGAATTCCAACTGCCCAATCAAAAGAAAACAACGTCTTTTAACAAGGTTTGCCATTTGGTGAGAGTTAACGAGTACAGTCTAAAACAGAGATTTCGACCTTGAGCTGGTCTTTAACCTGTGCAGATCAGTGACAAGGCGCCAGCGTGCGGAGACCAGTGATGAGACTTTGCAGTTCATCCTCTGTCACTTCTGCTCTCTTTCCTTCACTCTCTCTTTTTCTTTTTATTCCTCCTCTCACAGAGATCAAGGAAGATGACTGACAAGCCCGTTGCTTTTTCCTTCCACAGGCGGTCCAGACAAAGCAAAACGAAGCGGATTGGGAGAGAGAGAGAGGGAGGGAGCGTGTTGGGGGGAGGTTGGGGGGCGGAGGGGTGTCGGGTGGTGAATACGGTGAATATGGGGAGAAATGTTGGGGGATGATCAGAGATGGAGGGGAGGGGGGGTTAAAACCAGCTCAGAATACTTTTTATGAAGCCAAAACCCCAACAGAGCCCAATTCACCTCCCCCTCACCACAAAAAGGTCCTTTCGATAAGGATAGACCACCCTCTCCCCGCCTGAGAAAAACAAGAAACAATAAGACAATAAAAAGAATCTTTTATTTAATCTCAATTTTCTCTTTTTTTCCTTGCACCTGTTTTTTCTTTCATTCTGTTTTTTTTCTCTTTCTCTCTCTCTCTTCTCTCTTTTTTTCCGGTGCTTGAATAGAAGTGGATCAAAAAGGTAAAGAACCACAAATGAACATAAAACCACAGCTCGCCCGTCCCGTAACCCCCCCCAACCTCCTACCCCTTCTTCCTGCCTTCAGCCCCCTGCCTCTCCCTCCTTTTGCCCTTCTCCCCTCTCTCTCCAAACCCAGCACCTCGTGTCGTGCTCATGTTTGATGTCGATTTCCCCTCCTTCTCTCTCCCTCTCTCTTTCTCTCTTTCTTTCTCTCTTTTAACCGAGATTCTAGAATCCTTCCAGATTGTTCCCTTAAGTTTCCTCCAACAACACACACACAGAAAAGCCAACAACAGCAACATCACAGAAATCCTCAATGGGATGATTGAAAACCGAATCCAAATTCAACCCAACGGGTCTAGAAACTTCTTTAAAAATGTCCGCCTCCTGCCTTGACCATTCTCCCTGCTGCTACACTCAGCTGTCCTCTTCTCTAACCAACCTGGGGTCACGTTTTTTTCTCTCCTGTCTGCGACCAGTTCTTCCTCACTAGCACACACTTCTACACAAATATTTCCTTCTCGGGTTAATCTCTTCATGTACTTTCTTTGCTTATCCAAAATTGGTCTTTCCAGTGAAATCTCCTCTCCCTTTTCTGGTTCTCTCTTTCTTCCTCTCTCTCTTTTGCTCTCTCTCTCCCCCTTTTTCCTTTGCTTCCTTTAGGATGACTCCCCGTTTTTTTTAATTGAATAATTTAAAATCTCATCATTACAATAATAAACCAAACACTATGTCACGCAGTCCAGTCAACAAATCCTCTCTCAACCTCCTCCAACCATTTTGGGTGCTTCAGTGTGTCTGTTTTTTCTCTCCAAACCTCTCATCCTATCAGCTCCTTATTTTCTCTAATCTCTCATGTCTCCATGGCAACCAGTTCCAGGTTTCTCTGGGCCTACCTCAACCAATCACCTTCGGCCACCTTTTTTATGATATCCCTCCTGTTTTTGCTTGTTTTTTTTCTGTTTTGGTTTGTGTTTGGTTTTGGATGTCTGTTTTATTTTTATTTTTTGCTTTTTTGAGTGTGTTATCTGTGTTAGGGGTGGCGTCAGCTGCAATGACATTTAATCACAGGCCGTGGAAAAGCTTGAGTATTTGAGCTCCTCCACTCATTATCTCCTGCCCTCATTTCAGCCTTGCCCTCTTGCATGTGTCCTCAGGGAATATTTGCCGCTGTTTCTGTTTAGTCCGCATAGACCAACCATGCTGATTGACCATTCCAGCCAAAATAGCAGTAGGAAGTAAAAAACTAGGGCAAGAGGGGAAGTAAATGTCAAGTGTCATTGACTTTGCCACTGCCATAAGTTGTCACAACAATTTTTTGTCCACAAGTTGAGACAGAATAGCATATATGGCCACTAAACAGTAAACAATCACAGGAAATTGGGACAGATCCTTGGACACAAAGCAGAGAGGCAATGAGGAGGAATTGAGATGGCAGGAGAGCAGCAAGGATGTGAACTGAGCTGTTTTAATGGATGCTGCCATAGTCAGCTAACTCCCTGCAAGTGGGAGACTGGGGCTGGGATCAGCAACAACCATGATGTTTCAGTGAACGTGTTATTGCACACGACTGCTGCCTCCTACTTCCCCCTCCCACCCCCTCTGCTCTCTTTCTATAGATATGTCTATATTCTGGTTGAACCTTTCTTTTCTGGTTCCCTCATATGAAACCCCACCAGTTATGATTTTCCTCTCCTCCAGAGTGTTACCTCCCTGTTGCTCCTTTACTGTTTTGACCTTTAACACCCCACCTCCCTCATCCTCCTCCCTCTTTCCCCCAGTTGTTTATTTATTGGTTTGTTGATTTATGAAGATTTTGTGTTGATGTGTCTCTTAATTATTTTTTTGTGGGGGTGGGGGTGTAATTTGCTTTTGGTTCCATTTAGGCACTGTGCTCAGATTGATGGACTGAAACTTGCATGAGAAGGGAAGACTGGAAAGGAAAAAATACTAAGTGATCATGCTCAATCTGAAAGCTGAACTGGAGCAGTTGAATTATGATTCTTGATTTATCAGTGCATAAATGGCTCCTTTGAGCTCTTCAATGGTTCTTTTTTGTACTTTCCCTTTTTTATGAAGAGCCATTCTGAGCCCAAATCACTGTTGGCACATAGTATTCAAAGGAAGAGGATAGCTTCTCCTTAATGTTGTATAAGCTTGATGTTCTGAAATGTGTGCACCACTTTCATGTATTCTTTTTAGGGATTTGGAACTAGAAATAATTATTCTGGCACCTCTCGTGTCGATGCGTAAGAAAGAGTAATGAAATACTCTGTTCTTTCCTGGTCTGTTAAAATGAACAGCTGCTTTGTTTGATCCTCTCTGTTTCTGAACACAATCCCAATTTTTTTGGCGTGTTTAATATGTATACTGTCATTCAGCTGGACTGAATGCCTCCGATAAATTTATCAAATGAGGATCCTCCACCTTATTCTCTTGCTGTAATGCAGCGAGTTTAACAAAAATCACAATGGACAGAAAGACCCTCATGGGAGCCTTAATATCTGTCATGATTTTGTGAAAGCTGTTTGCCAGCCTGTTTAAGGACAGCCTGATTTATGAGGGATTGGTTAGGATTACATTTTCTATTTATTAAAAAGAAAATGGAGCGCTGCAGTATGCTTGTCATTATAAGGAGAGAAATTTTATATTGTGGTTTGGGAATGGAAACAACTTCAGAGCTTGAGTGACATCTAAGGCTTTAATTTCTCATTCTTTTTTATTGCCTTGCTTAACAGATAGTGGTGTTGATTTGCAGTTTAATGCAGGCTCCATGTTGATGATCGTAAAGCTCAGATAGTTTTCAGCTTCTTTGAAGAGCTACACCTTCCTAGTTTATGGAACTTTTGTGTAGTTTGAAAAGTTTCAGCACTGGGTTAGTGCTGCACACACTACCTTTGTGTAGTGAATTTCTTCTTTGGTTGCATTACAGTGTCAGTTCAGTATTGATAAGGTTTTAGATGTTTATACTGATAATCAGAGAATGCTTGATTTTGGTTTATGTACTATAGGCAGAAAGCATTTACATTGCTTTAAAGGTGGCGTATTGGTTAAAAACATCCTAAAGCAGGCTAACTACAGTTACAGTATATTACTCCTCAAGAGAGGTCTGACCACAGGCACCTTAATAATCAGCTACCACTGCAGTCAGAATGTAGCGTGGCTACAGTTTTTAGTAACAGGTGGTTTCAGCACTTTGGATAGGGTTATGTTTGTGCAGAATCTGCAGACTGTGTAATTTCAGCACCTTGGACAGGGACAAAGTGATACCTACCTGCTAATATAAAATGAAAAAAGAGAACGTATTAGGTAGCAATACTGTAGATAGCAATTCACACAGTTTGGGAGCTGGCTTGAAGTTGCTATGTTTTAAAATAGACACACCCTAGTGTAAAAAAAAGTACCAAACAGCTGACTTAGTAAAGAAGTCAATCCAACCATTTCTCTGTATTGAGAACAGCGGGCTGAAAATGTTCAGTAGAAATGTGTAAGGTTAGCTGGGCAAAAGGTGAATAAATTTGTCTTCCATCATCCAACATTTTAGCACATATTAAGATATTTTGCTTTTCTAACATTCATAGATGGAGCATGCCAGACATTCAGGCATTCTGCAGTGTGGTTTCATGGTGATAACTGAAAATTCACATGTCAGTTTGAATAATGTGAATGTCAGTTCATTACGGGTACTCTTTTGTCTATTCAGTTGTATATATGTTGTATTTGGAGGGGAATACTAAAAGATCTGTTCATTATAAAAGATTATAAAAGAAAATAACTCAATATATATTTAATTATATCTTTTGGATGAATTGCCCTCACCCAAAAACTATACAATGCATTGTTACCAGCTTCATTTTGTTTAGTTTTCCACCTATAATGAGTCACAAAGAATGAATCTGGAAACACATGAAAGATTTCAAAATGTCTTTAAAAAAAACGTTTTGTGTTGCACAGGAACAGAAACAAGGCAATCCTTCAAGGAGAAGCAGGTTTCAGAAAGTGTAAAGCTAGTATGTTTGTCCACTTTTTCAGAATATCAGTGTGTCTGTCTAGTAAAATACACACTGTTGCTAAAATTAGAAGTTTTGCAGGTGGCTGATCTGTCAATTTCTGGCTTCAGTGCAAATGTGACTTTTATATCTAGGAAAAAAACCCATAGGAAGCAATGGTTTGATGAAAGGTGGTTGACACATTTGTGGCTGATTTTGTGGCAATCTGTGGGGTGGAATTCTGGTTTCCTATTTCCATGATATGAAAAAGTGTTCAGTCACTGTAAAATTAGTTGATATACTGTATGCACTGAGAGACACCACAATTTCCTGAAGGACTTCCTATTCATCCTTTATTCACTCCCTTACTTAATGTTGCTAAACTCAGTCTTGGTCATCTTCCACAGGGATACTGCATAACACTTGCAATTCCACCAGCATTACACCAGAATGAATATAGACATAAACTAGCCAACAAATACATGCACTTTGGGACTCATATTCTACCTGTAATAACCATCCCTCCTTTAAAACACGATGAGCCGGAGCCAGTTGTACACATTGATTTTTAATCACGGAGAGTCTTAAAATGAGCAGTGCATTGCTGCTCAGATGCTCTTCAGATTAAGTACTTTTAGATAACATAATAGGGAGAAGGAAATGGATTTTAAACACTCTCTTGTAATAATCAACATCCATATATCTAAAGTGAGTAGTGCTCAATAACATTTTTAATAATGTTGTTTGAAGATTAGTTGCTGTTATTTCCTAGTCAGCCATTTAGAAGTCACTTTTAGGACATTCATTACAATAATATAAAATCCATATGGTATTTTTTTTATTAATGTGTACCTGCAATTCGTAAGCTTTGAAATTCAGTGGGGATGTGTTAGACAGGGGCTAGAGGTTATTTTTATTCTTAAAGAATACCACCTCAAGATTGTTATCAAGATTACTACCAAACAAAAATCATATAATTTTTCTAAACTGCCTATGCATTGATTGGCCTTT